ACACAGACACACATGCTTTCCTCAGTGGTCCAAGTCCTCGCCCATTGTTACATGTCGTCTTACACAACTTAAACGGATAAGTTGGGTGCGTCTCTGGCGCCACAGAACAGAAAAAGGCGTTACATTTTGTCACACGTGGAAATATTCTGCCCGCTGGTGACAGACAGGCAAAGGACGAGAGGAAAAGATCTGAGGAATTTTACTCACTTTAATTTATTTTAAAAGCATGTAAGCTCCAGAAAATATTTCACAAAGGAAGAGGACGATGAAAAGAGAGAGAGGGAGATAGAGAGGTGGAGAAAGCACCTTGCTGTTGCCGGTGCCTCCGGTTGGCTGCGCTCTCCTCCCTCCTCTCTTCCTCAGCACCGGACAGATACCGGGAGCGCACGGTGAACGCACGAAGGATGAATGAACTTTAAATTTGCCTCACAACTTTCCCTCTCTCTCTCTCTCTCTCTCTCTCTCTACCTGACAGTTTCTCCCCCCTCCCCCGCCGCTCGCTGTTCCAGGAACGAAACCCCTAGAGAGGAATATCTCTACAATGGATTTACCGCAATCACGATCCAGTAGTGATTAAATAGATTTTTTCCCCTCTCACCCTCTTTTCCTTATTTCTTTGCGGATGCTCATTAGCTTCGTGAGTCGAGATGATGGCATCAATAGGGGAATTCGATCCTCTCAACACCAGAGTCCCCGCAACTAAAATAGAAGTTACCGTGTCCTGCAGGTAAGGGCAAACTCCCGTACACGTACTGTAGATGCTTTTCAGTTTAAACCCTGATCTAGAGTCTGTTATTTCACCCACTGTGGGTAAAATATGCTGAAAAATTAGTTCATCAGATGTGCGTGAGGAATGTTTTGTTCTTTCATGTAACACTGATGTTTTCTATCTATCTATCTATCTATCTATCTATCTATCTATCTATCTATCTATCTATCTATCTATCTATCTATCTATAGATGACCTTATGCTTTCAGATGCCCTTTGCTCTCATGGTTGCCTCCATATGTATTAAAGCGGTTTAAAAATCGTGGAAAATATTTTCATATGGCATCAAGTCTGGCCAGTGCCCTAGCGTGCCACTGATATTCATAGACATGCCTTGATGGTGAGCTGTGTGTTAGGCACAGTGCAATAGCACGTGCAGTTACAGAGTGTTAAAATGCTGCAAATAAATACACTGATAACAGCCGTTTAATTTGTCCTGTTTAATTTGTAACCCTGCAAGAGAACTTCTACAGCTGGATTTACAGTTTTACAGATGCCTTAGCTGAACAGTTGACTGAGTGACTAACAGACCAAGCGGAGAAGCTCACCCAGGGCTTTTCCAGACTGTCAGTCACCCTGCCTACCTGGGTCTGCTGACGGTCTTTCCAATTCACTCCTGAATAATGAATAGCTGTTGCTCCTGTGCTGTCCCTTCTAAGATCAGACAGACTTGAAGTGGCTAGACACCTGACAGCAGTGTGAGCTAAAGGTGAGCTCAGATGAAGAGATAAATGATAAAGTTCTTTGTGTTTTTTTGTTTGATTGTTTGTTTGTTTTTTACCTTGGGTTTGCACACTGAATGCATGACCTTATCTATGCTTTGAATTACTGAATTTCTGTTTGATACAATGACAAATGGAACAGCTGACCACTTAATATAAAGACTGGAAGCAGGAGGAAACAGTATGTCTAGCTCTGTTTAAAAGTTTAAAAACCAGCATAATGTGAGTTTCTGGGCACTGTGTGCAGGACAAAACATGAAGTAATACATCAGGGTATTAACCAGACTGAACAGACCTCTATATAACTCTCTTTAATGATGTTGGAGGTTCTGGTAAGCATGTAGAGACGGGCAACTGATTTTCTTTAGATGGGCAAAATTGCACTATTGCATTTCATTTTTATGATCCCTCTTCTCCCAAAGATAGAGTTATCCTGCACACTGTTTCTGGATTTTTTTTGAGCAACAGCTTGATATACTGATACATTTCAGTGAGAAATACTTTTTCTTTTTTTCAGACTGACACGAGACAACCCTTGGGGCTTTAAAGCATGTGAAATCTGAAGCCAAATCATGGCCTTAACCAAGTAGTTTTGTTGACTAAACCTAACAAAAGTAGGGTTGAAATGATACAGTAGAAAGATCCATGTACACAAACCAAGGGAAATCTTTGGGATTACATCACACATAAGGCTTCTCTGAATATTAGTTTACTTGTGAATTAACCAGTGGAGTAATTAAATCAGTACTTTACAAACGTATGAATGTCATGACATGAAGTTTTGTTAGAAATGATTATAAAGACTTTTACAGCTAATCTATGGAGTGTTTTACCCTCATAGAAGAAATACGAATGCACTATTTCACTCACTGTTTCTGCATTTTGGCTTAATTTCTGTTATTAAATAATAACATGGTGTAAAATGTCATGTTTTTGTGGTTATTTGTCTAGTTTCAAGACTTGCTAAGGACCACATGATTTGCATTATTTGCTGATATGTGAGCAAAGGTGTGTGCTTTCCTTTTTTTTGGCTTTACACTTCATGGCTCAGAGTGGTTTTACATGATATACAATCACGCTGTTTGTGGATGTTGAAATGCAACCAAATCATAAATTCTGTGGACATACAATGTAAAGGCAGAATCATGTTACATAATGTTTTGGACTATAAAAAGTGTAAAGCCCATAGATTATGTGATAATATATGATTTGTCTGTTACTTTGGTTCATTTCTCAGGTGACAGTTGTCCAAATAAATATGTGAAGTCTTTCACTTGATTTTGTAATATGTGGACAACAGAAAGTACTTTCTTCATTCTGTTTGGTAACTTGTCATTACTGCCTACAAGTTGCACAACTGTTATTTTTATATACATCTTTCAGGTGTGACGCTAATGACAACCTGTCGCTAAAGAAAGCAGAAGGATTACCACGACAGACTCCCAGTATTAGTTTGTTCTTTTAGAGTACAACTGCACACAGTAGAAATATTCCGTTTCTGTATGTACTAGCACTTGTGTGAAGATTGAAGAAAAATACAGTTATTTTTCCTCACATTAGATGCAAATGTAAGTGCTCTTATTCCACAAAGTAACTGCAAAACCTTGTGCTCTTGAAATCATCATCTCAAGCGTATTCACTGTGATGCATAATAGCAGGTACCTTCAGAAAACTAACAGTCTGACACATCAAGTCATCACTGGCAGAGAAATATGTATGTATGACAAGACAGGAAAATTTAGAAGTCATTGTGGAAATGACTGGAAATCACCAGCCTGTTTCACACAGTACCAAAGGGTTTGAGTTTTTCATTTTTGTAGGACTCATTAATTGACATTAAAACTTTTTGACACATTAATGTAAAAACCTTTGGCGAGCTAGAGTCATGTAGTGTTTCTCTGCTCATGTTTTGGGAAATTAATCTTTGGTTCTGAAAGATATTTCACAAAATGTGCCAGAGTAACTGAGTCACCAGCTACCTATTTATCTTGCTGATCAGTCCTTCACTAATCATTCAGTGCTTTGTTTTTTAATTTTTTCTTTCATTTTGGCTTAGCGTTACTCAGAAAGGCTTCTCGTGATGTTTGTTTTCACAGAATAACTTGGGGAGCAGTTTAAATTTGCCCATGACCTAACTTTCAGGGTTTAGATGAAAACCTTTGTAAACATGCAGGAGAGTTAAGAACAAAAGAGATAAAAATAGGATGGAGCGAATGTTAATGAATGAATACATCTTTTTTATTGTTTCCACAGGAGTCTACTGGATGTGGACACATTCTCCAAGTCAGATCCTGGTATGTATGAACCATTTAGAGTCTGAAGTGCTGGTACTGATGATTAAGTTTAAATAAAACTGTTTGCTGGGGATGGATTTGGGTTATTTTTTTGTTAGTTTGTGTTACCTAAAATGAAGTTAAATACATTAAAAATAATAAAACAAATAAGGCACACCACAGATAAATTACTCATATTTAACTTATTTATTAGTACACAATACTGCAAGATGTAGTATTGATCTGAAACAAAGTAAATACAAGATCAGTATTGATAATACCAAGTACTGAAAGTACAGCTACCGGTACATTGTGTGCAGTGTAATGATTTATGAAGTGAATACATCTTCCGAATGCTAAATGTGAATACATTTTAATGAGCACCAAATGACTTTTTTACGTTCCACTGTTAATTAGTTTACACAACAAAACATAACTTTCACAGTTTTTCAACTCTTTAGTTTTTTTGAGACCTAAAACACATTTGCATGGAAAACAAATATCCATCTGTGCAGGGATCTTTATTAAAACAGTTTTTTCCATGAATTCATTTTAAAAAAAAGATCTCATTTTATATAAAATACCTTATATTCAGAAAAAACACTGCTGACATGAGGATAAAATGTTTATCAAGTTTACAGAATGACCCGTGTATGTGTGGACACAACCATGTTCTCAGTCACATTCAGGGTGACAGTCTGATTAAGGTGTTAGGCTTGTTAGTTTTGCTAGCAGTGTGCACGTGTCAGGTTCTTATTAGACCGGTGTGTGGATGCACATGTCTCTGTGTATGTAAACACGATCAGTCAGATCCAGCAGCTTTGACAGATCATACATTTTATATGGTACAAAATAGCCTCAGAGTTGTTAGACAGCTGGGGAAAATTGTGACAGAAAGTTTTGATAAAGGAGTTCATGCACTTACTTTCTCCTACTGTTCTCCCCATAATGCCATTGGCACGATAGCTGTTGGCCACAGTGGATTTGAATGCACCAGCCGGAGCTAAAAAGTTCAGAGAATACAAGTGTTGCATACAGATGTACCTTCAAACACTATTTTTGAGTGGTTTCCATCAAACTGCTACATTTCTAAACACCAAAATTGTCCATAATTACGCCTCCATGGCAGGATGTTTTCCACCCCCACTGCTGCACTCACACATCTTGATTTTACAAACCCATGTAGAAATTTAGGTGATATCTCAATTTTTTCCCTTTTTTGGGGGGTGGGGTGGGGTGGGGGGTTGATTCTGAGCTGTCAATAGCCAAGCCATACTGAGAACATTTCACAGCCACTCACCTCCACAGCAGCAAGTCTGGCTGTCTCTCCACCACCTCGTGTTCATTTTATTTTCAAAGCACAAGTGATTAAAAAAAGGACTAAGACATGCTGGCCAAAAAATGGCAGTTAAAAGAAAACATGATTTTCAGAAAAGGAGAAATTAGCAATCTTCAGAGTGAAAGGAAGTCAACAGAAAAAGAGCATGACAGCTTGAGTTCAACAGGAGAGGTTCACGTGTTGTAGTCAGTGAAATTAAATGCAATTGGTGAATTTAGATATCAGTTATCTCCACTAGAATAAACTAGAGAATACAATCATAGCAAAAAAGGTGTGAGCCATTGCATCTGATAATCTGACTGTTCTGTAACAGTTTTTTGGTGTTTCCCCTCATTTGCCCTCCTGGCACCAAAGCTTTTTGCAGTCTAAGTAGAGCAGTGTGGTAAGCTTGAGAGGCCACAGGGCTTAACTATCTCAGACAAGAAATGATACCTTAAGAAAGCCTAACAGTTGAGCTTTAAATGAGTTACTCAAATCACAGCTTGAGAGCACAGCTGTCCAACCACCGGTCTTCAGGCTTGGGCGATGATGACTGATCACAGATGTGAGGGCTGCCTGAGGAGCGACTGGGCTCCAACCAGTACAGACAGGGTGAAGTAGTGCGTGAGGTTCGTCTTCAGTCCAGCACACACAAGCAGATGTTGGAGAAGAGCTCTGAGCCGCCTGTTGCTACATGCACTGCAGCTGGAAGATGTAATTAGCGGAGATGCTATTATTAATCAACAAACAGAGGCAACAGGGAAGATTCAAGATTTAAAACTATTTAAAAAATAATATTTCAAGCAAAGAGTAGAGGTTGGATTTTATCATTAAGTCGCTTATTTTTTGTGCTCTCTCTCGGATTCACAGAAAATTGAACTTGCACAATAAACGTTTAACGTGCAGCATTAACAAAAAGTGCAAAGCTTATGTTAAAGACTTCCATAACTCTGATGTGCATCAGTAGTACAGTCTTTAGGAGGAGCTATTAGATGTGCAGAGTGTGCAAGATTAAAAGTCATGTTAAAGAGGATTAAAACTTTTGTTAACAAGGCAAATGTTCTTGATTTACTTCAGAAGAAATGCAAATCTTATGATGTACATCAATAGTAATTCTAAGAAGATTCAGTGCACTCATGTGGCACACTAATTAGGGGTATATGTAAACAGTATTGCATTTACTGCACTTATTGCTGATGTGAAAAGCAGCAGCTTGCTGTACATCAGCCCTTTAACCAAAATACCAATCAAAAACTGAGATACAGCTTGACATGAAAAAATGAAAAAAGGCCATTTAATATACAGTCAGTTATCATTATGAAATCAGATGATTCAATGTTGTTATGAACTGTTAATAATCATCTTTTAGATTACCTTAATATTATAAAATAACTATTGCTGTCAGAGTTAATCTTGTTAAAATGACGTTAACGCCATAACCGCATTAATGCAGCAAATCTCTGTTAGCGAGTTAGTGCAGATCGCCCCTTGCATGACCTGCATGGCGTCAACGCGTTAGTTCGTTTAGCTCTTAATGCGTTAGCGCCGTGCAGCCCCAGGCACGGGGCGATCCACGCTAACTCGCTAACAGAGATTTGCCGTGTTAATGCGGTTATGGCGTTAACGTCATTTTAACAAGATTAACTCTGACAGTAATAAAAATAACCTTTTTGTTTTGCAGGGACACATTTTCTTTTAGGTATTTTGATAAGGACATTTTATTTCACAATGTCAACTTTTATACTTCTTTTAAGCTAGCAAGCCCAATATGTGCTACCAAACTTAGCTTTTATGTTTACGGCTACTTAGCTAGTCAGCTAACTGTCTAAGCCAGTGTGTGGGTTAGTGTTATAACCATTAGAGTTAGTGGTCTTTGCTTGATTTCTTTTTCTCCAATTATAAAGTTTAGGTGTAATATATGTAGATACAACAGTGGTTCCATACAGCTTCCAACCATGACATTCTTCTAAAATTACGCATACTTGCATGATAGAAAACCCACATGAATTTTCAGTTCATTTTCTAGCTCGAAGGTTTGTGACAAACAAATGTATTATTATTTTGATGTAAGAGATGGTAAATGCACTACCTGAAGAGCTTTACACAACATGACTCATTCACCCATTTACTTTTTTTCTGTGCTCAAGTGGATTTTACTTAATATTCACACACAGAGAAAAATACATCACATCTGTAAAATCAGTTTTCTTTAACTGAATAAAAACACATCAGCTAAATGTTTGATTGAAATGTAAAGCTTTTTTTTTTTTTTTTTTTTTTTTGCTTTCTCTTCACTGAAAGTTGGCCTAACTTAATATATCAGCTTTATCAGGACTCTCAGTCATCAGTTAGTTTTAGCTTGAAAGAAGAATTACATAGTGTGATGCATCAGCAGCAACATATTCACCTCAATAATGCCACAGTCACATTAGGGAAAGCAGTGGTCAGAGACCGCGACATGAACAAAATAATTTCAAACGTGTGGAATAAATTTGGGATTTCATTGCCTTTGAAATGGCTGCTTCACAGACAGGAACTTTGTCTGCAGCTTGTAGCAGTTTCTATCTTTAAAGTGACTTTGGTGTCAAGACGTTGATAAAACGGCCATAAGACGAATTAGTCTGCTATCGGGTTGCAATTGAATGGTGTCAAGGTAGCAATTACATGCATTCTGTTTGTGATAATAGGTCATTGAATGTGATAAATTTGCTAAAATTGCCTAATTACATTCAGAGTCGAGCCAGAACCTCATAGATTCCGGAAGTAGTGATGTAGTTTTTGCTGGACCGAGATTTGACTGCACAATGAATGAGGTGCTTCAAAGCCTCTTTTTTGTATAGGAAGATAACCAGAACACAAACAGTTGGCAACCATTTAAGTTGAGTCTTGTAGTGCAAAGAGATGCGTTTCAGAAAAGTTGTACTTGTACACATTGACTCAGATTAATTGTAATGTATTAGAAACCATATATAAATTAGACAGCAGTTATTTGCAAACCTTAATCAAGTCTGTCTGAGTGTGACTGCAAGCAGTGTAAGTCACACTGCAATTGTTTGGAGACAGGTTGCCTCCAATCACGTGACCTTAATATAGGTTGCCTTAATATGGTCGCCCAGTAGTTGCTGATGTGCACAGTCGACCTCTGAGTGAGAAGTTCGTTAGTACAACTGCTTGCATTTACGTAATGCAAAAAATATAATCAATGCAATCACCAGGCATTTTTAGTAGTCCCTTTTTTTCTTTATGTAACCCTAAAATATTCTTGGCTCTTGACATTTTAGGTTTCATTTGAACATTTCCACATTTAGCTCTGAAACTAGATGAAATGTGTGGGTGCCCATATCCATAGTCTCTAAGAAGTGCATTATATCTTTAAAACACACATGCATGTTCAAATGATTAATAAGAATACCATTTTTAAAATATTTTTAAGAAAGCATTTCCCTCTGGCAACATAGACATCCACAGCTGCCAATTAGCACCTCCACATCTGGCTAAAGTCAAATGTATTTTTACTGCAGCAAGATTTTATCAGTCCTCAGCAGCCTGAAATACCTTTCTTATTCTGTAATTATCAAGAGTGCCTGTGTTCCTTATGGATTTCTGTGATATAGTATATGTACTTTCTTAGTGGTCTTTCTGTGTTTATAGTGGCAGGAAGGTTTAGCATGGCTCACAGGAACTACATACTTTGATCTGTAAT